AGTGATGGGGGACACCTGGAGTGGGTGGGGAGTGATGGGGGACACCTAGAGTGGGTGGGGAGTGATGGAGGACACCTGGAGTGGGTAGGGAGTGATGGGGAACACCTGGAGTGGGTGGGGACAGATGGGGAACACCTGGAGTGGGTGGGGACAGATGGGGACACCTGGCACACAGATTTCCATATACTCAGCTAGACAAATATACACGTAAATAAATTTAAGAAGTAGATACATCAATGCTGTGAATCTTCTCACATCATCTTAATGTGTTTGGGCTGTGTGTTCACATGTGCGTGGAGGCCAAAATTCCACAAATCTTTAATTGTGCTCCATCTTGTTTTTTAAATTTCATTTAATTATATAGTCTGTTGTTGTATGATGTGGTGCCAGTGAGGAGTTAGATCTGAGGACAACTTATGAGAATTGTTTCTTTCCTGCTCTTTGGGCCCCAGGGATTGAACTTGGGTTGTCTGGCTTGGCAGTAATCACTTTTACCCACTGACCGTCATCATACTACTAGCCTGCTACCTTATTTATGTTTTGAGACAGAAAGCTCAACCTGGAGCTCATTGATTCTGATAGGTTAATGACCAATGAGCTCCAGGGATTCTCCTATCTGTGATCCCCTATCTGTGATTACAGATGTTATTCCCTACTTTTCTATGTGCACTAGGGATACAAAGTCACGCCCTCATGCCTACGTGGAAAGTACTTTACTGACTGAGCCATCTCTCAAGCCATCTCTGGAACCTTCTCTTGTACAATCTATGGTATTTCTCAAAGCCATTTTTTACCCAATAGGGCTCCTTGTAGCGCTAAATGTTGTACACAAAAGACTGTTGTGTTCGTCTCAGTTATCATGGATGCTTTGAGTCCCTGGTTCCTATGAAATGGGCACTATGGAAGCCTGGAGGTCAGAAATGCTGAGTCTCAAGCTAGCCAGACTCCCAAGTCAGCTTTGCACTCTCCCTGGTGATATGACGTTCAGGACAGTGGGCAGGACTAAGTACTTATCAAGTGAAGGAGCTAGTCTATCTGGTGTGTCTTCCTGAGAACTCTAAAAAGAGGGCCTGTGGAAAGGGACTTCATCTTCTGGAAGTGTGGTAGCAATCATTTATGAATCCAGTGTTCTGACAGGATTTGATGAAGGTGATGGGTGTGGTCTCTGGGGAGAAGGAGATGAATACATAGAGAGAACAAAACTTGATATGTACTTGGGCTTGTCTTGAACTCATAATACTTCTGCCTGCTTCAAACTCAAAAGATGTAGTTCCAAGGATCAGACAAAAGTTATCAGGCTTGACAGCAAGTACTGGTACACACAGGCCAGCCCTCATTTTTAAAGAAAATTTCCATTCGTTCAACATTTCAAGTAAGAATTTTAAAATTAAGTTCTTGCCATATTCATGTTATGTAGCTCACTAAGAAAGTCTCATCCAAGTGTCAAAACCAGTCACTATATTGAGAGAACAGAAGGCCCTGTCCTCAAGAGTCTTCTATTTCAGTGGAGAGAGATGGCAAACCACGGCAGCTCCCCAGGATAATGTCCTTACAGATTCCTGTCCCTCGCTGTAGTTCTTTCTCCATTCCTCACTGTGCTGAGGCGACGCTTTTCTCTTGTTTCTTGAGTAGTTGCATTCTGCCTTCTCAGAGCCTTTGCATTTGCTGCGTCTTTTGATGGGAATGTTCTCTTCTCATATGTTCATGGACCTTGTACCAGCATTTGTGAGGTCCTGATGCTGTCGGGATCCTCATTAACTGTTCTCTGTTTGCTTTGATCTCTGCCTTCTCTTATCACTGTTGGCCTTTCTTTGGAAAGTATCAGATGGAGTGGCTGCTACTCAGCATCTATGTGTTTCATTTTCTCAGAGGCTTTCCTAGGATCATGTGCAGAGTATGTACTTAAAAAAGTCCATGTGGATAGACCACAAAGGATTCCAAACTTCCTCCTAGGGCAGTAGACTCCTTCCACTGACATTCTGCTCTGGGGGTCAAGAGCCTCTAGTCAGGATGGTAAGCCATCCTCAGACTAATGTCTTCTCGTTCCTTCTATCCTACAGGTGGTGGATTCCCAGTTGGTGTGCATGATGAACGAGAACAGCATTGACTACATATCTCGGTTTAATGACCTTGCCCAAGAATTGTCCATCACTGAGCCTGGCCGCCGGGAGGTTCTTTTTGATGGTGGTGGTGGCGGTAATCCTGTTGGTGACCTCTCTCAGTGACTGTGCTTTGTGACATGGGCACCCTGGAATCCACAAGAGAAGTCTACAGAGCTGGCCCCATGAATCTGTCTGCATAGTAGAGAAAGTCAAGCCCAGAATCCTGAGAAGACAGTGAGCAGGAGCACCTCTAACAGCATGACAATATTCACATGCAAAGGAGCAGCCTGCCCAACAAGCAGGGGTTACACCATCCACAAGCTGCCCTGAGAAGGGTAGACCTCAGAAATCCTTTTGGTATCAGAGGCCTTGCAGTCCTGTAGCCTGTGTGGCAATCCCGACTGTATGTCTGTGTGTTGAGCCTTCCAGAGGGTGTCCTCCTTGCAAGAAGACATGCCTGATGTTCATTTTGTCTTTGGAGCTGTTATCCTATGTGATGGGAGGCCACAGCCACTGCTGCTTTCTTTCTGATACCCTTTTTCCACTTGGCTGTCTGTCTGCAGTGATGTTGCAAGGGACAGTGAGTATAGACCAGTCTTCTTGCCTTGGTGGTATCTTTAACCTAAGACACTTCCTGGATGCCTTGACTATGAAGCAGAGAAGGGTCCCAGAGCCATGTAGCTAATGTTATCTTCCCAAGATTACTTAACCCTCACCTAGTGCTTTCTACCCAAACCTTCTAGAGGTTTGGTTCTGCCTGGCATAAGGAGGAGGAAAGAAATTTTCTTGGAGGTTGTATGGATGTTTTGTATGGTCCTGCAAAGCTTGTTGGGAATGGTTTTCTTGTGGTTTAAGAATTGGAGGATATGGACAAAGAATAGTAAGAGTCCCCTATCTAGGTGGCTCTGCTCTCTACCTGTGTTTAATGCTTATTTCCTTCTAAGATACCATTCCTCTCTACTGGCCTGACCCCTACCCCCATCCCCAAATGCACTGCTATGTATGCAGATTTTATGTGTGCTTATAATTTTCATGTGTTATTGCTGGTGTTTGAGGGGTATTTTTGCCCCAGGCTGTCTGTCTTCCTGTTCTGGGACCCAAGCCTGGTTTAGATGTCAGGGTGTAGGAAGAGCTCCAGCTTGATGATGTTTTAGCAGTTCTCTTATGGAGCCCAGCAGTGGTCAGTCAGTAGTCAGTAGATCGGGCCATCATGCTCAGAGTGATGCCAAAAAGAGGTCCACCCCTCTTATTTGCCCTTTAATAGATCCTTGTAACATGGTCACTCCTGCTGGACCTAATATGTCAGGTAGCCATGGCTAGTTCTTGGTGAACAGATGACCCCTGCACTAGCCTCTCATTGCTCACTCTCTACATAGTAGCCAGGGCGGATACACCATCCCCCATTTTTTTTTTTCTTCTTGAGACAGGGTTTCTCTATAACTTTATTTATAGGCCGTGGTAGGCTGGAGATCCACCTGTCTGCCTCCTGAGTGCTGGGCTGAAAGTCATGTTACCACACCCAGCTTACAGGTCCTTTTTAACTCCTAAAACTGCCACCTCTGCTTTCCACCTGTCAAGTCTCCTTCCTTGCACAGTAGAACATAAGACCAGCCCGGGCCGTTACTTCTCTCCATCTGCAATGAAGAATGGGATGGAAGTGTCCCTTTGGGACACTTGATCCATTGGTCGCCCTGGCTACCACAAACCCTAGAATGCAAGCTCTACTCCTGAAACACAGAGTATAGGTAGGGGCTCTTGACAGTAAATTCCTTCACCTCCCAAGATCCTCCTGCCTTTGTACTGGTGAAGGATCTGCCCCAGATGCTGACACGTAGACCCTACATCTGGTAAAAGTCAAACGGTTAGATGAGGAGAGCAGCGTACGGTGCCGTTGAGAGACTGTGCTGAAGTAGCCAACATGTCTCTTTACCCAGTTGTGTGCTTTCAGCAATGCCTTACTTAGCTGAAGGCATTTAGATCTTGGGACTGAAGCCTGGTTAAGATCCCAGGCTCAGCTTAGTCCACTGCTAGCTGCCCTTCTTGTGTTTCAGATAGACTTTCCCACAACATTACTAAGCATGGGTGCTTGTAGAATCCTGGTAACTGAGCATGTAATACCAGGTGGTTGGCTTCTTAAGCTGGTTCCCCTCAGGCAGTGAATGCTGTGAGGCACATATTAGTCTGTGCTGTCTAAAAGGAGTTGACACTGCCTTGAGGGCCAGAGACTACAGCCCTTGTCACCCATTAGCAAGCAAGGCATCAAATGGACTGGTGCTTTACAATAAGGAAGCTGACAGGATTCCAGAAGATTCCACTGCTTCTTTAACAGCCAGCCATACCTATTTGCTCATCATCGCCATATTAAAGGACAGATGGTGGCATTTGTAGCAGAGGATCAGTGGATGTGACTCCTCCCGGCCTAATCAAATATCCATACGTGAAACCTGGAAACTGCCAACGGTTGGAGTTTAAAAAACAACACAGCAAAGAAACCTCCTAGGTTCTACATCTTCCTTCTCTTCCTTTCCATCAGTTTTGATGGTTCATGTTCACTTGGGCTTCCCTTCCTCATTGGAACTTAGTGTGACAGACATGCGGTCGGTCTTTGAGAACATTTTTTGCTAATACTAATGTTTCTTAGACATGCTGACTCATCTTTTCAAAAAATTGGGAACCTGTATCTCCGGTGCTTGGCATGGATTGTGTCCTAGAGAAGATGCTCAGGCGAGCTGAAGTCCATGTATCCTGTCGGGCATAGAACTTGCTCAGGGAGGGGGACTTTAGAGACATTTCATCTGTTGGTCAGCCTTTTTTCCTACCTTCTTCTTTTTCATTCCTTGCGATGGCCTCTGCTAGGGAGGTGTCATTCAGTTTAATAGCTTTTTTGTTGTTTTGTTTTTTTGTTTTTTTGTTTTTTTGTTTTTTCGAGTCAGGGTTTCTCTGTGTAGCCCTGGCTGTCCTGGAACTCACTCTGCAGACCAGGCTGGCCTCGAACTCAGAAATCCGCCTGTCTCTTTAATAGCATTTTTAACCAGACCACATTATTAGAAATGGTCAAAACAAGTTTAAAAGGAAATTGTTTTGTGTACTTTTAAAACAAATCTCCCAGATGCATTCATGAGGAAATACTGTATTTTGTCTTAATTTAAAATAAATAAATAAATAAATAAATAAATAGATAGATAAATAAATAAAAGACTTTAAAAATGAAAAGAAACCCACAGTGTACCTTTCCCAGAGGCTAGCCTGATGAGGTCAGTCCAGTTTTGGAAGCACTGCACCAGCCAGACTCTTACTAGTTAGATCACTGGCTGGAGGGTGCACCCAGCAGGCAGAACTCAGTGCTGTTTGCTTTGATAATCGTTAAGCCATATCATCTGAGGTTTCCAGCTTGAGATGTGAATTTGTTTTATAGACTATAAATATACAGTGTATGTATAAAGCAGAATGCCTGTCCTTCTGATTATTTTTTGTACCATATTGTAAATTACATTATTTATTCTTTACCAATTTTTTGGGAATAAAAAGGTGTTTTGGTTATTTAATAAACAAAAACTGTTAAACTTCGGCTAAAATTTCCAGTTCGGCTTGTAAATGTTTTTATTGTGCATAAATACATACTAATACTTCATCTAATGACTGTCTTTTGTGCCTGCTTTTAAAGCCAGTGGGCTTAGGATATTCTGATCTGGCACAGTGTAGGGAGATGAGCCAGCCCTAAGGCTTGTAGGTTCCCAGGAGGTGAGAGTGGGTCGACAGGTGGGCCTCAGAGAATGATAGTTGAGTGGTCGCTGAAAGTGGAGAGGTGGAAGTCATTACAGAATCCGCTGCTTCTGTTATGGGTATGGTGTGCGCTTCCCTGAATAAGGTGCTGTAACCCCAAAAGAAGCCTTCTCTACTACTGACCTGAAACTTCCTAGTGCCATACCGCCCCGGGGTTGGTAGGCAAGGAAATGCGGATTCCGCACGGTGAGGCGTGTTGGTGTCGGAGGGTGGGGCCAGCTATGAACCAATGGCCACGCCTGAAGCTATGAGAGGCAACTGCTTCAGCCAATCGGCTGTAAGCGCGGTGCGGGCCTCCAAGCCTCCTCCTAATTGGGGCGGGAGGGAGGGATGGGGCATGGTTCCACGATAGGCTGCAGAGACATGATTGGCGTCGGAGGCGTCCAACTGGCTTAGGCGGGTCAGGGTATCTGCGCGGGACCAAGCGGGAACCGCCGCGCGGCGACTGTGGAAGCGCGGGGCGGCGGCCGACATGTTCCAGGGCGCGGATGGCCAACCTGGCGAGTTGAACTCCAGGTGCGCGGACCGGTGCTGGGACCCGGGTGGGCGCGTAGCCGCAGCCACGTGGCGGGCGGGAGACCCTGCAGATGCGGTGGGTGTGGCGCGGGGTTCCCCTGAGGGTACTGAGCGCGCTCTTCCTCAGGCTCTTGCAGCAAGGCTAGTGGATTAGAGCGGAGTGGAGACCGGGCGGCGGGATTAGGACACGTGGCTTTCCTGAAGCGCTTGCTCAGGAGAGACTCTTAAGCCGGGCGCTACCGAGCTGTTTGCCGCTTCCTGACCTCTTCCCGAGTTCTGTTGGGTTGGTCAGGACGACCTTTGAATGTGGCTGAGTGGCGGCAGCATTCTCAGACCCAGCCCACGACCAGGTGTTCATAGGATGCACTACTTACTAGTAGGTCCTCCCTGGCCGGGGACCTTCCCAACACAGTTTCATTTGGACTTTCTCTCTGATCTGCTTTGAGTTGATAAAGTGAAACTAGTGTTCGAATTGACTTCACGAGCTCCAGAAGTTAATTGTGGAATAGGCTTCCATAGAGAGGATTTTAGGAAAAGGATGAAATTTCCATTTGATACCTGGTTGGGTTGGGGGAAGGGGAGCTGCCTTAACTGGACGATGAAGTGCAGTTGGAAGCCTCATCTGGGCCATATTAGATAGAAAGCGTGCTTTGGATGGAAACTTACTAGGTTGGGAGAAGATAGCAGACTGATTGCTCCAAAGCCGCACCTTGATTTTGCCTAGGCATTTCAGTGGTTACACCAAACATGCCAATATAGATAGATCCCTACAGCAAGTCTTTTAAGTCAGGAATTACCTTCAAGGATGATGAATCTAAGATAAAGAGAAACGTGTAACTTGTTAAAAGACACAAAGAGTCTGGATTAAAACCCAATCAAAGGATCTAGGGGACAGACTACACCCTAAAGGGCTCTGAAAAACACAAGGAGAGCCTCTTTACTTTATACTCGAGTCAGGCCTGACTCCCCAGATTAGAATCTATAAATTCTGGCAGTGGAGTCCCTAGCTACCATGGCTATAAAGCAGAAAGGTTGATAGAGGTAGGGATTTGCTTCCATGTAAGCTACATAGCAAGTTGAAGACAGCGTGGGGAAGAGAGCAAAGTAATCTCTCTTTAATCACATGTTTAATCCAGATCAGAATCTAAAACAATATTGGTAAAGTATTAAAACTAAATTTTGATCCTAATTACTATATAATGTGACTCAAAAAAAGAAAAGGTCCTTATGTGGTTCACCTTACCCTTACCTCTGTGAGTAACACAGTGTCTTTACTGTGTAACCCAACTTGGTCTTGAACTCTAAATTCTGCTTCAGTCTCCCACGTGCTGGGGTTTACAGGCCTGTACCATCATACTTTGTGATGAGACCAGCTTTTGTTCACGTCATTACTGTTTGGTATTGGGCTCAGCCACAGGAAAGAGACCATCAACACCAGTCCTGTTGAATCCTGGGAATCTGTTGGTCTGCTCTAAGTGACTCATGTTCACTCTCTGCTTGTAGATCCATGAAGCCCCCCGGAGGAGAATCAAGCGATCTTTTTGGAAATCCAGAAGAAGGTATTCCTTCAAGCAAGCCTAATAGGATGGCATCTAATATTTTTGGACCAACTGAAGAACCTAAAAACATACCCAAGAGGACAAATCCTCCAGGTGTGGACTTTATACTTCTCAGATTCCTTGGCCTTAAACTCTAATGTTCTTTTTAAAATACTGTCTGACAAGCTTCTGTTGCTGTGGTGAAACACCAGGACCAAAGCAAGTTGGAGAGGAAAGGGTTTACTTTAAACACTTCCACATCACTGAAGGAAGTGAGGACAGGAATTCAGGCCAGGGCAGGAGCTGATGTAGAGATCATGGAGGGGTGCTGCTTACTGACTTGCTCCTTATGGCTTGCTCAACTTGCTTTCTTATAGAACCCAGGACCACCTGCCCAGGGATGTCCCCACCCACAATGGGCACGCCCTCCCATGTCAATCACTAGTTAAGAAAATGCCCTAAAGGCTTGCCTGCAGCTCTGTCTTAAGAGGCATTTTCCTAATTGAGTTCCCTCCCGTCATATGACTATAGCTTTCGTCAAAACGACGTGAAATAGTTCTGGATTGTTTTGGTTTTTGAGACAAGGTTTTCTCACTCTGTAGACCAGGCTAGTCCGGAACTCATAGAGATCTGCCTGCCTCTGCCTTTCAAGTGTTGGGATTAAAGACATGTGCTGCCAGGCCCAGCTGGTTCTGGGTTTTTGTTTGCCTTTTGTTCTTTGAAGGCAGTCCTCTGTGTAGCCCAGACTGTGAACTCATAGCCTTCCCGCTTGTCTCCCGGAGTGCTGGGATGACAGGTGTGGAGCATATGCCTCACTTTGCTTTCTGTATTTAGATCCTTTTCTAGAACCTTCTGTAGCACCTTGTCCTTTGTGTCAACAGTGTCTTTAAAAAGAGAGAAGGCTTTCCTTGGCTGTCACGTTCTCTCTTAAAGGTGCTCCATCTACTCAGCAGATATTTGCTGAGTGTAGTTGCTGAGGCTGCTGGCCAGGTGAGGGGGTTTCTGGTCTCAGAGCCTCTAATCTGAAATTTATATAAATTGTGTATTCAAATGTTTTTCTTAGGAAGAGTATTTTTAGTATGATTTCAGTGGGGTTGAAATTCTGGAGCGTTCACCTCTGTGTAGTTCTCTATCGTTCCCTGCTGTTACCAGGCAAAGTTTTTGGAAAGTCTTTACTTGCTCTTGGTGTTAGTTGTATGTTAGACCTCAAGAGCCTGCAGAAGATTATGGAGTTTGGGGCCAACCTGGGCAATATAGTGAGACACTGTCTCAGAAAAAGAAGGCAGCAAAGCACCTTAGGTGATAAACTATCCTCCCGGCCTTTCCCTTGTCTATATCCATTTTTTTAAAAGCTAGATTTGTTCTATCTTTGTAAGCCTGGAGGGGCTATATATGGAGTCCATATGCTGGAAAAGGACGAAGACCTGCCCTCTGCCTTGTGTCAATTAATGGTAAAGACTTTTTTTTTTTTTTTTTTTTTTTTTTTAAATGAAATACAAATGAACAAAAGCTGGATTTTGGCAGGCAGTGGTCATGCACACCTTTTAAGGCCCACACCAGGGAGGCAGAACCAGATAGATCTCTGTGAGTCTGAGGCCAGCCTGGTTTACATAGTGAATTCCAGGACAGCCAGGGCTACACAAAGAAACCCTGTCTTGAAAAACCACAAAAGCTGGCTTTTGTTTGTTCTCTTAGGGTCAGGGTTGGAGTTGCATTTAGTGTCTGTGAGCCATCTTGGCCTTCCTTCCACAGAGTTGTCATTAGACCTGCCCCAGTGGCAAGCCAGGTTCCCTGGGAAAACATGGTGTACTGCTGTACCTGTTCCCCAAGGCACTCTTAATGCAGGTGGGATCATCTAGCCCATTCTGTGCGTGGTCATAAATGAGTGACAGCCATCTCGTTGCAGTGACCAGATTGATTCTGCACCAACACGTTTTGGAGCTTGTTTTCTGCCTTGTTAGGGGCTCCTTTGAAGACAGTCTCTGAGGACACAAAGCCATATCCACTGGTACATCTGTTCCCAGGGCCTGGATGCACTGGTGCTCAGTCTTTGGAACTTAGTCTTACAGCACTCACACATTTGGGAGCTTCCTGAGAAGTGTGCAGAGGCAGAGTAGAGATAATTTAACAGTGTGGGATCATGGAAGCTTTGCTGGGATTGCCTGTCCTTTGATGTCTCATATTCATTAGTTTCCATGTTTCTTGTTTCTTGTATATTATTTGCCTGACAACATTGATCTTTGTTGATGGCTTAGTAGTTCCAGAAAGTGTGTTTACACACTTTGCATATATTTTCACTTCATTCTTACTATAACCCGAGAAGGTAAATGGTTCCTTTCTTATAACAGCAGAAACTAAAATCCAGGGAAGTTTCTGGCCTGAGTGAACCCCACAGTTAGTCATTGGCAGAATTGGCCTTTGGATCTAGTTTTCCTGTTTCTAGAGTCCATGCTCTAAATTGACCTAAATCTGCCCACTATGGCACATGCCTATAATCCCAGCATTTGACACATAGAGGCAAAAGGATCAGGAGATGTAAGCCAACCTGGTCTATATGAGACCCTGTTTCACAAAGCAAACAAACTGACCAGAATACATCCATTGAGAGAAACTTCTGAAAGGATAATTGCTAGGTCATTGGGTACGTGAATTTAAAATGCTGACACGTTGAGTCTAAAGAGGTCTCCACTGTTATCCATGTTTGTGTACATTCGGTCAGTATGGTTTAGTTTATTGTGTGTGTATGCAGAAGCCAGAAGGTGTCCAATCCCTTGTAATAGAACATTTGTACAGGCATTTGGGTGGGTTCTGGGAACCAAACCAAGCCCCTTGCAAGAGCAGTAATCACTCTTAACCTCTTATAATTTGGCCTCTAAAAACTTATTTTGAACTTAGTTTTCCTTAGTAAGCTGCTAGGCATGCCATGTGACTGCTCCTTTAGGGAGTAAGTAGGAAAGAGAACTCTTGTTCAAGTTAGGGCAAAATAATAAGACTTATTTGGGAAGTAACAAGTTTCTAGTTTCAAGAAAATTTGGGGATCTTGGTGACCAGAGAGAAGGGATATGTAGAAGTTTCTGGAGAGGCAGTGCTTACCCTACAACTCTTTGTGATGGGTCCTGAGAACTTTCCAGTGCTCTGTTTCACTTTTTTTTAATGAGCAGTGTCTGACCAAAAACTTGTAATTGTTACCCGCCTCCTCCCTTTGGCTGTGGTTTAACTCAGTATCTAGATAGCTGATCATTCTTCCACTGAGCCACAACCCCCCCCAGCCCCAAACTCTTGAGGTTCATTATTTGGTTTTCAAAGTTTCACCTTGACTTCTGCCTCTGTGTTGAATGTGGGGACTGATTCCCAGGAAGTCTATGGCTGAGGTTTAGAAAGTTCTAATTTCTAAATCTTTACAAAGGTGCAGCTCTTGATATCCCTAAAAGTTTTATTTTTCCCTTAAAAAGATAGGCCTCACCTAATCCACTTTTATGCACAATTACAAACCTCCCAAGGTAGGTGTAGTTTTGTATTTACTTTATTGGGTCCTTACATCACTCCACCTTTTCCACCCCAGTCCCTTCCAGCACCAGGTAGGAGAGACACAGGACATTAGTGGGGAAAGGGGGCTTAGAGCTCCGTAATGCTTCCTGCTAATTAGGGACGGTGAGTTCCATGGGACAAATCTAATCTTATCTTTCTCTTGTGAGAATATCTCCAACTTCTTGTCTCTTTTTCTCTGGACCATTTGACAAACCAGCAGGAACATGTCTCTTTAGGGGGTGTGTGCCTCCACCACCTACTCCCCTGTGCTCTGGCATTTATTTCCTCTCCAGAGTCCCCAGATTTAAACTGTCTGCAGCTGGCAAAGATCACACCCTTCCCAAAGCATGCAGGAAGCAAATATTCTGTTGCTGTGAACAATCTGTAGCAGCCCCATATCCCATAACTGGGATTTTTAAGACACCATAATTCTTACTATGTTTTCCCCTGCCTGTTTTATGCCAATAATTGTACAGTTTTGCTGAGAAATTATAAACAAGACATCAGTGAAACTAAGTGTTTTTCTTTTTCTGGGGTGGGGGTTTGTTTCGAGACAGGATTTCTCTGTGTAGCCCTGGCTGTCCTGGAACTCACTCTGTAGACCAGGCTAGCCTCGAACTCTCGAACTCAGAAATCCGCCTGCCTCTGCCTCCCAAGTGCTGGGATTAAAGGCATGCGCCACCACCGCTGGCACTAAGTGTTTTTCAAGTCAGTGACCAAAGATTTTTTTTCCTTCTTTCTATAAACTGGTGACTCTACTACTCTTGTCTGAAAAGGCTTATACTGTTTGCTGCTTCTACTCAAGCTAGGTCTCCAAAGCCGCTTCCTGAGGTCAAGGTGTATTACCTTATATGTCCCTCTTGGACCTGCACTCACTCAACCAATGGCACCGTTTACCACCCAGTCTTCAACCCACCCCCAGCTCCAGCCTTCTATTAGAAAAACTTTTGCATCTAGAAAGTACTTGTTCCTTCTCTGGCAGAAAGTACTGTATTTCTCACAGTTTAATGCACCTGCTACTTGAACTCTGAGGCTTTTATAAAAAACCTTACAATTTCTTTTTAAATGGCTGAATTCACAATTAAAGCAACAGGCTTTTGATATCTAAGGCTTTTGGCTAACAAGTAGTAATCTTGTAACCTCAGGCCACCCGTTGAGGGGCTCAGTTTGCTCAAGAATAACCCTTTTTGTCAAAACAAAAGGGTTGTTTTTCTCTACCCTTGTCCCTCTGGCCCTGGCCCTCACGAGCTATGGGGACTAGAAACCCAAAGTTCTGCCAGGGTAGCTCACATTGAGGAGACCTCCAACCTGGCTTACTTATGCTAATTCCCAACAGACCGATTAGGTATAGAACTCACATATACTGTTTTCCTTGAGTGTTGTTTCAAGTAAAAATCTGATGGTAGAAGAATATTCTTCCCTGGAGAGTGTGTGATACTTTGTATATGCTTGGCCCAGGGAATGGCACTATTAGAGGGTGTGGCCCTCTTGGAATAGATTTGGCCTTGTTGGAGTAGATGTGTCACTGTGGGTGTGGGCTTTAAGACCTTCATCGTAGCAGCCAGGAAGACAGTATTCTGCTGGCAGCCTTCAGATGGAGATGTAGAACTAACTCTCAGCTCCCCCTGCACCATGCCTGCATAGATGCTGTCATGCTCCCACCCTGATCATAAAGGACTGAACCTCTAAACCTGTAAGGTAGCCCCAATTAAATGTCCCTATAAGACTTGCCTTGGTGATGGTGTCTGTATACAACAGTAAAACCCTAAGACAGAATGTATGCATCTTTCAAGTAGGTGATGATGCTCATGAGAAGATGAAGGAAAGTGCCCATAAATAAATGCTGCCATAGAAGGCAGAAGTCGGGAATAGGTAGCAGAAGATTCTGAAACTTGGACTTGGACTTGGTTTATACCAGTTCTGTACCAAGTAACACAACTCATGCTAAGAATAAATCAGAATGGTAGTTTTCAGACTTGATGAGAAAGGAAACATAGCCACTTTCTTCAGTGTGTGTGTGTGTGTGTGTGTGTGTCTCTCTCTCTCTCTCTCTCTCTCTCTCTCTCTCTCTCTCTCTCTGTCTGTCTGTCTCTTTCTTTCTTTCTCTCTAGGCTTTGGCATTTATTCCCTCTCCAGTGTCCCCAGAATTAAACTATCTGCCCCTGGCAAAGATCATGCCCCTCCAAGAGCACACACAAGACAAGTAGTCTGTTTCCGTGGGCAATCTGAAGCAGCCACACATCTGGGATTAAAGCAGAAACATGTTCACACAACATAACTGAGATTTTTAAGATACCACAATTACGGCTGGAGAGATGGCTCAGCAGTTAAGAGCGCTTGCAGAGGTCCTGAGTTCAATTCCCAGCAACCACATGGTGGCTCACATCCATCTGTAATGGGATCCAACGCCCTCTTCTGGTGTGTCTGAAGACAGCTACAGTGTACTCATATTCATTAACAAAAAAAAAAAAAGACATTACAATTCTCACTACAGCCTAGCAGCTACACTCCTGATCACTACAAGCCAGTGTCTTCCAGAAAGTCCTCTTCTCCAGCCACAGGATCCTGGAGGGCCTTTTGTTAGGTGTACTAGCTAGTTAAAAAACAAAAACAAAAACCTTTGGCATTCCAGTTTTTTCATTCTGATTGTTGTCCAGAGTTCTGTGGTGACAACATGGTCGTGAGAGCTAAGGCGTAACTACTGTTTGGTGATTATTTGAGGGGACACAAAAAAGAACATGGAAGAACACGGACCAGTCCTTTAGTGATATGGTGTTGTTTGACTTTCCCTGGGGAGATGTAAACAGACTTGTAGTTACCCTCTAGTCACCCTAGATAGCCCATCAGCAGCCAACCAAATAAACAGTCCATCTAGGTAAGCCACTAAGTTTATTGCGGTTTACAGGAACATCAGTGAAGGGTAGCTTAGGAGCACAGGAAACCCTATAAACACCCGCATCACTGAAAAGCCGTGTGTCAGCATAGATGTCAGCCTCCTAAAGGTAACACAGATTTAATTCCATTAGGCACGATGCTTTGGGGAGGTGGGTGCTTGACACCTGCTGAGTGAAGACAGTGGTTGGTATTTCATACCTTTTTGCCTCACATAGGCACAGTTGCATCACGTCCAGGCCTGGGGCCATGAGATCTGCCCGAGATGCACATTGCTATTAGAGCTTAGTAAACTCACAGTGGACAGCAAGGAGCATGTCTCTTACCTTGTTGGTATCTATTCATCATTAGGTCTTCTGGCCAGAAAGAGGTCAGAGTGACTAACCTTACTTTCCAGATCATAGGTTCACCATGAATAGCGGTTTACTAAAACCTTTAATTATTTGCTTTTGTTCAGCATTAAGGGAGCTCTGGGGAAAGGTGGTGTTTTATTCCTTTTCCTTTTAGAATCCAGATCAGGTCAGCTTGGCTATACATGTGAATGCTGTAGCAGACCAGATTAAGGATTGGCTGGGGTGTAAGGCTTCAGGGACTTGGAGTAATTGTCCCAATCTGTTGCCCTGGAACTTAGGAAGGCATTACGTCTTCCATGAGAGGTCATCTCTCAGGGTAACAGTGATGGCATAGTACCAGACGGGAGCTCTGATGTTCACTCTTCTGTGATTGTTCCTGCAGGAGGCAAAGGAAGTGGGATCTTCGATGAATCAACTCCTGTGCAAACTCGACAATATCTGAATCCCCAGTCACTGCCACTGTGCCTTTGGCACATCCAAACAAGCCCAAGGTATGGACTGCATTCATAGAGCCAGACAGGAGAGAAAAGTAAAGGTTGTGTCAAGTTCACTTTTCAAAAGTTCCAAAGCAGGTGTGATATACTATTACGAAAAGACAGAAAGACCATGTTGCTTTTCCTGGGTATGGTCATTTATTGGTTAGTCACCCAGGAAACATGTTTCAACCTTATGACTAAAGACCTGGGGAAGGGAGTTGTGTGACATCCCTACACAGCAGCCGCCAAGCACCTGTCTGTGCTACTCTACTGTGTGTCCCTGAGGTCTCGTGACTCAGCACACAGAGTAAGAGTTTGACCCTGGAATCCTCCTGTTAACGGGCTCCACCTCTTCTGCCTTCCCCACAGCTTTACAGATGTTTCACAGAGAGGAGCAGTTAGAGGAGGGACCAGAGCATCCCGGTTTATCCCCACAATGTATATCTTGGCAGTTTAGAAGGCACAGTCCTCTGCATAGCTCTGCCAATGACTATGAGCAGTCAATCCCACACACATGACAAACCCTCTCCCACCCCAACTCATCTGAGTTAAAGGAAACACTAACATTCAATGCCCTATCTCTGTCTGATCTAATTACAGGCAGAGCAGGAGCCTCTCAATAGAAGGAGATGCTGGATTTGCCTCCTGGTGGGTTCAGGACTTTGTTGTGGGAGCGAGGTCTTGGCCCCAGTCTGGGCTCATGACTGTCAACCGTGGGTGTGGGCTCTGGTATCTTTGCATGCTCTGCTTCTTTTGAGCTTCCTTTCTCGCCCTGCTGTCCTCTGGGTGTGGAGTTTGCTGCAGCTGTGGGATAAAAATCAACAAAAGTCCATGAAAGGCAGTACATAGTCCACTACACTATGAAGCAAGCTGCACTGACTGGAAGCCAGTGTCCCGGCATAGCTAGTGAGTTCGGAAGTCCACCTGCTCCCAACTGGTCTCAAGCCCATGAAGCTCTTTGGATCCTTGCTCTTCAAACGGCACAAAAGAGCTGCTAGAATTGTGGTTCTCAACCTGTGTCCAAATCCCTTGTGATGGTTTGTGTATTCTCAGCCCAGGGAGTGGCACTATTAGTGGCCCTGTTGGAGTTGGAGTATCACTGTAGATGATCTGGGCTTTAAGACCCTCATCCTAGACATCTAGAAGCCAGAATTCTGCTAGTGGCCTTCAGATGAAGATATAGAACTCTTAGTTCCTCCAGTACCATGGCTGCTGGGATGCTGCCATGATGATAATGGACTAAATCTCTGAACCTGTAAGTCAGCCAAATTAAAGTTGTCCTTTATAAGAGTTGCCTTGGTCATGGTGTCTGCTCACAGCAGTAAAATCCTAAGACACCCTTGATGAGGGAAGTCACCTAAGAGCATTAGAAAACACAGACATTTACATTACGATTCATAACAGTAGCAAAATTAGAGTTATGAAGTAGCAATGAAAATAATTTTATGGTTGGGGTCACCAAAGCACGAGGAACTGTATTTAAAGAGTCCCATCAGCAGGAAGGCTGAGAAGCACTCTTCTAGAAGAAAAGGAAACCTAACAGTATTACTAGCAGGAACTGTGCTCAGGTCCCTAGCCGTCTTTGAACACCAAAGCCGCCCTCTTATGCTTGTTTCTGTCAGCTGTTTTAGAAGGCAGAGCAATGCTTCAAAATGGAAGAGCTCTTTCTCTGGGATACAGAAGGGGCAGGAAATAAGCTTACCTTTCAGGTCAGACTTAGAGTCTTCGCCTTCACACAGCAAAACATGATCCTGCAGCAAGATAAGCCGCCAGGTTAGTGCTCATTCAGGTAGACAGTGAAAATTTAGGGATGAATGGCTGGTTTATTTTGAAATGTGTCTCCCTGGCCATCTATGGCTTAAACCTAGACCCTGCTAGGGAAGTAGTCTACCCACCACCAGGCCACATCTTCAGTCTGATTTTCACTTTCTGAGTTGGGGTTTCATTAAATTTTCCAAAGTCTGGGCTTGAACTCACTCTGTAGGTAAGCAGGCATTGAACCTCAGCTTCCTCCACAACAGCTGGGGTTACAGGTCCCACTATAGTCTGTTTTATTTTTAACCTTTAAAATGTTCATGGCAGGCTGGAGATGGCTCAGTGGTTAAAGCTCTTGCTGCTCTTCCGTAGGACCAGAGACCAGTTCCTAGATACAGTTGTCTGTAACTCCTGCTCCAAGGGAACATGATGCCTCTGAGGGTACCTGAACTCATTTGCATACATACACATATGCTGACATACCTATACAACATAACTAAAAATAATACGGTTTTATAATAAACAAACTAGTAGGCTACTAAATAAACTGCTCAATAACAAAGTGCTTCTCTAGCCTGCAAGAGCCTCTCTGCATTTGATCCCCAGCACTGCAAAACAGAGACCTGTGACTGAGCCCATGGGACTCACTGTACTGCAGCAGTGATGTTAGCTTACTGGCAGCCTCTCAAAAATCCCAGTTATTCTGTTTCTTCAAAAATAGCCTAAGATGTAGCTTTTAAAAAAGTAGCCACAACAAGCTCCAAATAACAATCATTTCCTCAAAAAAACCACCAGCATGCTTCATGGCTTCATCTATGTTGTCGTCTATATCAGAGTATCCTGTTTGACAGCACAGCACTCAAATGTGTGGTTCAAAGCAGACAAATGAACAAACCAAACAATTTGGCCACATAATCAAATGTTGCACTGTCAAACAAGAAGCTCTGATACCTACAACAGTATGTATGTATGTATGAATGTATGTATGTATGCATGCATGCATGTATGTATATGGACAACTTTTCTCATAAGGAAAGTATAAGGATGGGATGTGGCTCAGTGGGCAGAGTACATGCCTAGGATACAAAAGGCCCGTAGTCCACATGTCCCTGGAATAACACGAAAACCAATAAATCGATAATAAAAAATACTAAGTTTCACCAAGATATGGTAGCTCACCCCTGCAATCTCAGCACTTATGCAGGATGCCAAGAGTTTGAAGCCAGCCTGGGCTATTAAGAGGACAACCTGCTTCTCTTTTGAGACAGACTCTCACTATGTACACCAGGGCTTCAACTCAGAGACCTGCCTGCCCTTTTCTCTCAAATGCTGGGATTAAAGGTGTGTACCACTGTGTCAACAAGACAAAATTTGCCTTTAGAAAACTGTGGTTTTGAGCCTACTTAGGTTTGACTTTTGGGAGAACTGACCTGAGATGGTCTCTGATGGCCTTCTACTAGGAAGCCTTATCTACAGGCTGGCTCTTTGTTCTGTGAGCAGACAGTGAGTATTATCGAAGTCTAACCCTTCACGGCCAGGTTTATAAATGCTGACATCCTATTATTATTCCTACATTGCTTCAAAGCTGGGATACTTTTTTCCAGCTATGACCTCACTATGCCTCTCAGCTAGCCTCCAAGTCACTGTTGTGCTGCACCATCTTCCACATAGCTTCCACACAGGTACACTGCAAAGTGCACCACTCTAGACGACACCTGTTTTTATTGGGAGTTGGTGGGGTGATGCTGCCATGATGTGCATGCTGAATCAGAAGATAGTTTTTGAGAGACTGTTCTCTCCTTCCACCTTGGGTGTCCCAGGTATCAGACTCAAGTCTTAGGCCTGGGAGCAGGAAGCAGCTTAATCAATGGACCCATCTTGCTGATACCCTATAGCACTTTTGTAAAGGGGACTTTTCTTTAATAGGTATTCTTCTCTGCACTTCATGCAGGAAATGCTGATCAAGCAGATTTAAAAAAAAAAAAAAAAGAAAGAAAAGAAGAAAAAAAGAAAAAAAGTTGGGCAGTGGTGGCGCACGCCTTTAATCCCAGCACTTGGGATGCAGACACAGGTGGATTTCTGAGTTTGAGTCCAGCCTGGTCTACAGAGTGAGTTCCTGGACAGCCAGGGCTATACAGAGAAACTATCTCAAAAAAAAAAATCAAACAACAACAACGAAAACACCCAAACAGGTTTTTTGCTGTTGTTGTTTGGGGTGAGGAGGAGGGGGTGTGTTCAGACAGGATCTCCATAAGTGGCTCTAGCTATCCTGGAGCTCATTGAGACCCACCTGCCTGTCTCTTGAGCCACCATGCCCAGCTTGGTTAACACTTTTCTTTTTTTCAACAAATTGAATGAGTTGATTTTCTGGCATGCTCTAAAGGTCCAAAATTAGTATTTTTTTGATCCAACAAATGAAAAATAGTTGCTGAACTTTAATCAATTGCAATTACACGTTAATCTTAATACATGGGTGCCTTCACTGGATCAGAGACCTGAGATCAATAATCCTCAAAGATAACACAAGCTCACCCTTGTGGAGTAAAACTCATCAAGAGCCATCATCTTGGGCTGGGGAGGTAGCCGCGGTAGAGCAGTGGTCTAGAGTGACAAAGTGTAGGAGACTGGTCTGATGTGCTGGTGTTCAAATGCTAAATAATGGCCCCCAGAGATCTGGTCACCACTGCCCGAGGAGACCCTCTCCTGCATACTAAATGATGTCAGGTAACCTTGCTGGCAAGTTTTTAGATACCTGGCAGGGGGATTGCAGGTAGAGAAAGACCAGGGAGAAGAGGAGAGGAAGCTGTGAGAGGAAATGGACAATGAGTATGTAGGTGGGACAAACAGGAAATAACAAGGGACATGAGGCTGGGATATAAGTTCTATAAGTAGCTCTAAAACCTGCCCAAAATACCTGGATTGTGTGTCTTTTTTATGGGCAAGCTAAAATGTATAATTCAGGTTACACAAAGCTCAGGTTAAGTCTGCAGTACTATGTGAAAAAGAGACCCATCATCTTTCTTTTCAAAAAAAAAAAACAAAAAAATCAAGAAGGGTCAAACTCTTATGCTGTGTGCTGAGTCACGAGACCTCAGGGACACACAGTAGAGTAGCACAGACAGGTGCTTGGCGGCTGCTGTGTAGGGATGTCACACAACTCCCTTCCCCAGGTCTTTAGTCATAAGGTTGAAACATGTTTCCTGGGTGACTCTAACCAATAAATGACCATACCCAGGAAAAGCAACACAGTCTTTCTGTCTTTTCGTAATAGTATATCACACCTGCTTTGGAACTTTTTGAAAAGTGAACTTGACACAACCTTTACTTTTCTCTCCTGTCTGGCTCTATGAATGGAGTCCATACCTTGGGCTTGTTGGGGTGTGCCAAAGGCACAGTGGCAGTGACTGGGGACCCAAATATGTCACTGGTCTTCCCACCGGGTGGATTCAGACGTTGTCGAGTTTGCACAGGAGTTGATTCATCGAAGATCCCACTTCCTTTGCCTCCTGCAGGAACAATCACAGAAGAGTGAACATCAGAGCTCCCGTCTGGTACTATGCCATCACTGTTACCCTGAGAGATGACCTCTCATGGAAGATTAATCTGGTCTGCTACAGCATTCACATGTATAGCCAAGCTGACCTGGATCTGGATTCTAAAAGGAAAAGGAATAAAACACCACCTTTCCCCAGAGCTCCCTTAATGCTGAACAAAAGCAAATAATTAAAGGTTTTAGTAAACCGCTATTCATGGTGAACCTATGATCTGGAAAGTAAGGTTAGTCACTCTGACCTCTTTCTGGCCAGAAGACCTAATGATGAATAGATACCAACAAGGTAAGAGACATGCTCCTTGCTGTCCACTGTGAGTTTACTAAGCTCTAATAGCAATGTGCATCTCGGGCAGATCTCATGGCCCCAGGCCTGGACGTGATGCAACTGTGCCTATGTGAGGCAAAAAGGTATGAAATACCAACCACTGTCTTCACTCAGCAGGTGTCAAGCACCCACCTCCCCAAAGCATCGTGCCTAATGGAATTAAATCTGTGTTACCTTTAGGAGGCTGACATCTATGCTGACACACGGCTTTTCAGTGATGCGGGTGTTTATAGGGTTTCCTGTGCTCCTAAGCTACCCTTCACTGATGTTCCTGTAAACCGCAATAAACTTAGTGGCTTACCTAGATGGACTGTTTATTTGGTTGGCTGCTGATGGGCTATCTAGGGTGACTAGAGGGTAACTACAAGTCTGTTTACATCTCCCCAGGGAAAGTCAAACAACACCATATCACTAAAGGACTGGTCCGTGTTCTTCCATGTTCTTTTTTGTGTCCCCTCAAATAATCACCAAACAGTAGTTACGCCTTAGCTCTCACGACCATGTTGTCACCACAGAACTCTGGACAACAATCAGAATGAAAAAACTGGAATGCCAAAGGTTTTTGTTTTTGTTTTTTAACTAGCTAGTGCACCTAACAAAAGGCCCTCCAGGATCCTGTGGCTGGAGAAGAGGACTTTTTTTTTTTTTTTTTAATGGATTTGAGTACACTGTAGCTGCCTTCAGACACACCAGAAGAGGACGTTGGATCCCATTACAGATGGATGTGAGCCACCATGTGGTTGCTGGGAATTGAACTCAGGACCTCTGCGAGCACTCTTAACTGTTGAGCCATCTCTCTAACCTTAATTGTGGTATCTTAAAAATCTCAGTTATGTTGTGTGAACATGTTCTGCTTTAATCCCATATGTGTGGCTGCTTCAGATTGCCCACGGAATCAGACTATTTGTCTTGTGTGTGCTCTTGGAGGGGCATGATCTTTGCCAGGGGCAGATAGTTTAATTCTGCGGACTCTGGAGAGGGAATAAATGCCAAAGCCTAGAGGGAGAGAAGCTCTGAAGAGAGTGCCTGTGTTTCCTTTCTCATCAGGTCTGAAAACTACCCTTCTGATTCATTCTTAGCATTAGTCGTGTTACTTGGCAATCCTGTAGACATACTCACACTTTCCAAAAACTTTATGAGGACATTTCTGGCACCTGCAATAGAGCTCTCTGTAGGCACTAGAAGCATAAGTAGCACCACTTAGAAGCCCTTTTCACAGATAGACACGCAGGGGAGACAAGGAACCCTGCCCACAGGGGCTGAACAGGAGAGAAATCTGGCTCATAGAAGTGACAGGACTGTGGAGCCTAGTACCTCTGCTGTCAAATGACAGTTGTGACCTTATTGCCAAAACAGTATCCTGGCCTAAGGAGTACTGTTTATTAGCAAGGTCAAGAAGTCTCAACTTTCTAAAGGCGGCTTGGCAGCTCTTGTGCTTCAGAGTACAGAGTAGCACTTTTTCAAGTGTTGAAGCAGGGCATGGATGTTTATAAGAAGCTGACACTAAAAACACCTTGCCATACATTGGTAAATAATTCTACCCAACTCAATGTCCAGCAGGCTTTCCTCCCAACTACAGGAACAAAGCCAGGCAGGAGAACAGGAATCCACGCAATACCTAGACATATATGGCCTTGAAGAGGCCAGAGACCTTATGTATAGAAGAACCATGAAGAGAGAGAACCCCTCACATGTGCAGGGGTTAACGCTATGCTTAAGGCTGATGAGACAAAAGGAACAACCCACATGCAAATTTGGCCTGTCAGGGATGAGTCAACTGTAGAGGAAGACAGGCTGCTACCTCAGACCTGGTCATTCTACCCGGTCTGTTGAGTTTGACCGTGGCCGTGTCAACCAAAGAGTTTCCCTCTTCAGCTGCCCTGTATCCTAAAGCCAAGTAGCGTGTCTTACATGTATGTAATTCTGTAACAACTCAAATGGTTTGTGGTTCAGTCATTATGAGAATGTCGTCTGGAACTCAGAGCATTTTTTGTCCATTTAAGAAAACGTCATAAATGATGTTTGCTTTTTTTAGGCCAGACACTAACTTCTTTAGCTTATAAGGAAATAATACAATGATAGAAATAAACCTTTTATAACTTTATAACTGCTCTTAAGTTAAAAAAAAAAAAAGCTGAAAAGATGGCTCAGAGACTAAGAGCACTAAGTGCTCTCCCAGAGGTCCTGAGTTCAGTTCCCAGCAACCACATATTGGCCCACAACCATCTGTAATGAAATCTGACATCCTCTTCTGGTATGTCTGAAGAGAGTGACAATATACTCACATACATAAATAAATAAATAAATCTCAAATGCCTGAGGCTATAGGACTATCCATCTTATACTTTAGCGCCTTTTAATGAGACAAAGAATTCTAATAAAGCTCCCAACATCTAGGATCAGATAAACTATAGCATTCAGTAAGTACCTGTTACATCATTTTGTTAAAATTCAATCATATTGTAAAAATCAATCTGTGGAGCTGTAGAGATTACTTGATACTTTCACAAAGCAATGGACGTCAGTTCCAAGCATCTGGGAAGGGTGGCTCACAAGCACCTGCAACTCCGGCTCCAGTGTATCGGATGGCTTCCATTGGATGGGTACCTGCATTCATATACATATATCTACTACGTGGGCATAATTTTTAAAATAATATTTTGGGGATGGAGACATGACTCAGTGGTTAAGCGCACTGACTGGTCTTCTAAAGGTCCTGAGTTCAATTCCCAGCAACCACATGGTGGCTCACAATCATCTA